TTTTTATAAATTTATTTTTTCTACAGTTTTATAAACTGTGCGCCAATTTGGTTTGACGAACTTGAAACGTAATCGTAATAATCGATGCTAGTATATCTTAAAAACTCTGGACAGAATTTATAGCAAATACGTCACCTCAGTCAGGGTTTGAACCTAGAACTCTTGAAATATTAGAAATATTAGAATAGCAATAGCTTTTAATTATCCGAAAGTAGACTAATCTTTCGCTAAATAAATTTCCATAGCAATGTCTGTCAGATGAAAAACACGTTTTTTTCTTATTTAATTTTAAATTGATTTCAATATTATAAAAATATGTACATATAAATGCTAAAATAAGACAATAGACATTTGTAAAAGAAGGTACGACTTTTAGTAAACTCTGAAACGAACAATAGTACGGATGGTTCGTTAGGGACTTTCAACATGCGAAAAGATGCACAATAGGTCTACCGAGAGCAATTTGCGAGATTTCGTGCTATACATTTGGACGCATTCATGCTTTTTTTATTAGGTCCGACTTGATTCTCTGAGCTCTCTGCTTTTCCTACAGTGATTCGAGCTAAAACCGACAAACTGTCCGCCTCGGTAGCCCCGAAAGTTTTTAACGCCGCGAGAGACGAGTCGAATAGGAAAGCTGCCGCAAAATAGGATTTGGGAGGTACGAGCTTCCGGGGATTTTGAGCGAAAGAAGCGCTCTTTTGTGAGCGCGTAATACAACGCGAGTAAGCGCGTGCGCGCGTAATGCGTTCTTCCTAATCTGCCGAGTTCTGTCGTACGTTTTATATGCACGTATGCATTGTTTTCCGAGTGAGAGAGGAAAGACACGTTCGCGCAATATCGCGAAGCGAATTCAAAAGCTTATATGTATAGTAGAGCAATTCTGAATAATTCTGCTATATACATTTATATTTGCTGAAAATTTTCAAACGTACTTGGTGTGCTGTACGCTTTTATGTGCTCTCGTGATACAAAAGATGTAACAATGTTTAATGAAAATTTTAAAGAAACATTAAGACAATAGAAAAATGTGTAAAAGAAAATACATAATTTTTAGTGAACTCTGAAATGAACAATAGCACGGACGATTTGTTAGGAACCTTCTAATAACGAAATAAATATTTAAGCGAACTTCTTGGCGAAGAAATGCGAGATATAATATAATTGCGCGATTGGTTTAGTAAAGGCGTAGGAATAACGAAATACTTTTCTACATGATAAACATTCGACGACATTGATTTTTATCGGTTTGCCTTTGACGACGAAGGTCGTATATTTTTCATACATATCCTTTCATATTTTAATTTCACGCAGGAAACGTAGTCAAACGCAGCAGACCGAGGATTTCGTGCACTGTCGCGTTTTGCATTCGCTAAGGCTGCCACGTCGCATTCAAAGTCGCGGATGTGCGACAATGCCGCCTGCTCTAATTTAATGTGCAACGAACCCTTTTTGTCGCTACCTCTTTGTATACCTTCGGGAGAACAATGAAAGCTTCTGAATTATTGAAAATACTTCTTCGTATTTTACATCATTACGTGTATCTACTGACACACATCTTTTTCCACCTTTCCACGAAAAAAAAAAAACTGTTTATTTGTATCTTAACTTCGAAAGCGAAAACATATGAGCTTTTTCTCTAACACAAAATTGTTCTTTTTATGTCTTCAATTATAGAAAAAAAAAATTGATTGCACAAATTGGAAACATAGTAGATCAAATCAAAAGGATACAAATTAGGCACATACAGTTATTAAACGTTTTAGTCGAAATAACTAGAAATTAATTACAAGAATTCTGATTGACATGTGTGTGATCAGAATATACTTTGTATTTCTTGTTTATTCTAAAAAAATATGCTTATGACTTTAATGTATGTGGTGTGTCTATATAATTAAATTTCTCTCATCGTATTAATATTAACATCGTGAGGATTTAAATCCACCAGTTTGTCAAAGTTGAGAAATCGGCTACGCGACAAAAATTATATTTATTAGTATTTTTTTTTCAAGAACTTTTTCAGATAAACTATGCATATGAAAGCTATGTGTTTAACGTAAACCATTATACGGACAAAGTTGTTAATTAACAATTGTTCCATAGCAGTGCTGATTGTTAATATTTTTAATTACAAATTTTATATAACTAATCTGTGTGTAAAATATTGATCAAAACTTTGTTCGAATAAAGTTAATAGCTTTCGCAAAAATTTGTAAAAATAGGTATCTTTTTAACCCTTTTAGGTATCCCCCTCCCTCCCTCCCTCAATCTATCCCTATTTATTCAATGTAGAAAAACAGTCGATGTAAATTGATCGCTAACTAAAATAGAATTTCGTAAAACTATGTTTTATGAATCTCGGTCAGACTCTTAACACACTGGGGGAATAACTGCGACCCCCATCTGCGCTTTCCAGGTAATATCGTATCCTAAATCGTCGATCGCAGCTGTAAAAACCGCCGCTTTTACGTACGGGTAATCCGGAGCGCGCTGAATTGACTCGACCTGCATAAATAAGCTCTTCGTAAATCAGTCCGACGTCTCGCGGCGCAATCTTGTTGTCATCTCCACGTTCGCGGTCACAACGGTTCGATTTATATGTATATCGAAGTTGGCGGCCGCGCGCGAACCAATCGGCGCGCGGCGACTCGCGGCCGGCGCGCCGGCGACCAATCGCAACCGCGTTGCTTCGTCTGCTCCTAGACGGACCAGCTAGACGAGCCGCGCAGGCCGCGCTGCCTCGAACGCGTCGCAGTCCGTTCCGTTGTTTCGTGCGGTGAGGAGTGTTTCGCGCGCGGTTCACGCGCTCCGCCGCCGCCGGGTGTTCTCTCTTTCCCGGTAATTTTCACGTTTCCCGAGTTTTGTCGCGCCTCGCAGCTCGGATTTTTCCCGGTTTTCCTCGTCAAGCGAATCACGTCTCGCGCTTGGTAGCCAAGACGGATCTCGGATATTCCTGCGTCGCGCGTACGTGACGCGATTTGCAAATTGACGTTAGCGAATGTGACGCTGGAAGGAGAAAAAGAAAGAGTGAAGTGGCTGTCGAGTGGCGAGAAACACCACCTTGACATTGATTGCTGGCAAGGAAAGAAGGGTAAGCCAGATGTCTGCTGAACTCTAATTTAAAGCTATCAAGTATCTATCTCTATCACATCCCTATTCCGTATAATCTCATATTATATATAATTTGAGACACAGTGAATTAATTAGATATTTAAAACTGAATACATTACTTTTAAATTTAAAAAATCCAATTGTTTTTATGTAAAGTATCTAAACATAGTGGCATAATATATACAATCATCTTTGACAATGAAATAATACATGTACATTCTGTTAAATAAGGCGACAATATCGTTATTGGATATTTAATTGTTTAAAATATTTATAAGTTTTTACATTTAACTTTATTAATTTCAAGTATAGCAATTTTTATTAATCTAATGTAAGTTCCGAAACACAATAGGTGTAAACTTTAAACCTTAAGAAATTGACCAGTTATGGTCGATTATTCGTCTCACATTCGACTGTGTTGATCAATTTCTTAAGTCTTAAGGCTTACTAGGCCAGAATCAGAATACGCATTGAAAATTGATTGAAGATAGACGATTGAAATTTAACCAATGAGAGTAAAGAAATTTTAGCTCCTTTTGTTTTGATTGGTCAAATTTCAATTTTTCAATCTTCAATCTCAATCTTCAGTGCATAGTCTGATACCGACATCTCTACATCTATTGTGTTTTGGGACTAATGCAAGTGACCGAATTCGCAAATAATTACATAACAACGTCAATAAGGTCTTACACCGACCAATCGCTATCGTCAACAGCGGCAACAGTTTTGTCATGTTCTTCAAAACATAAATGATCGGACATTCATAATTTCTTAAGAGACACGAATCGTGTCGTTCGTGAGAAGGATTTAAATTATTACCGCTGCTATACATTTAACAAATACCGAGCAAGACAAGAGGTTCCGGTTACAGTAGGACGAAGGGGCGCAGGGGAATCTGTGAATGCAAAACCGGTTGTGTTGAGAAGGTCAGTTACTGCATTGGAGTCATTCTTTTCGAAGTATATTTGTTCACATTTTGGGTACGTGTACCTTGGAGGTTAGGTCACTGTTCTAAATTTTTAAGACCCCACACGTTCTTGAGGTTCGTAGAATCTCGATCGAGTTTGAATGAGTTTTTGAAATACTGTTGAACGAGAGTTTAAAAACCAGTTTCTTTCACGTTTTACTCGAATTGGTGCAATCAATATAAAAGCCAATCTCATATTAATTACGGATATAAATTGTGAATTTTATATACGTGCATGAATTTGAGCAAATTAACAATAATTAAGTACTATTCGACTGAATACAATAATGCCGCCTTAAATACAGACAGCAAGAATAAAATTGGCAGAAGCCGCTATCGTCGTGTCATTTAAATTTAATACTAGTAATTTTAATAGCATAACGGTGGTAGTTTTGTGCCAATTTTACTTTTGCTATGTACATTTAAGGCGGCATTTGTTATATTCGATTGAATAATAATTATTGTGATACATTCAGGAATTCACAAATTGTTAATTTGACTAAATTAATTTAATGTGTCCTTATTTCTTTCATAAGATTATATTATATATTTATGTAAGTCAAGACTTTAGGTATACGTTGAAAACATTTATGAACTAAATTATCTTAGTTCGTCTTTTTTTGTTGGAAAAAGTATACTCGTATTTTAGTCAAATATATTACCTATATATTATGTTTGACTTAAATATGTATATTTTCGTGCGAAAGAAATAAAGATAAACAAAACTAATTTAGTCGATTTAATAGCGTTTTTCCTCAGTGTAAAAATAGAAATGAAAGGCTAACCTCGACTAAAGGTAATGAAAATAAATGGTAAAGAAAGTGTTATTTTATTAGATACATTAAAATAACGTGGAATACGCGAGACCTCATTGTACGAAAGCTTTCTTGTGCGATTGTAAGATGTATGTGTGATATTCTAGGATCAATAGAGAAAGGAAAAGAAGAGGACGAGTCCATCTAAAGGAGGGCTTCGATGGATCTCGTTTGAAGCCTCGAAGGCCAAGGCTGCCGCTTACGCCAAACTGCGAGGGAGAAAGAGAAGAGGAAACCGAGAGTGAGATAGAAATCGGAATAAAGAAGAGAGAGATGAGCTATCTGACACGTGGGCGAACTCCGAAGACTCACAAGCTTGGGCATCGCTAAAGAGAGAACGAGAAAGACAGGCGAGAAAGAGAGAAAGGTAAGGGATTACGTAAGGCCTCGTGCGAGAAGGAAGATTGAAGGAGAACTGCCGCTTTGGAATGCAGCCCGCAGATTTGTAATGATTACATAGCAGTCAGCACGTTCGTAGCGTTCGACCTTTAACCCTTTCGGTGAAATTGTCGAATGTGCGCATTTTTTTAATTAAAAATATTGGGAATCAAAATTTACCTTTTGCACGAATAGTTTTGTGGACATTTTATCGTAACATTTAATTTTAAATCTGATTTTTGAATCTGTTATTATTAAATTAGGTAAAGCTTATTTAATATATACATAAAAAAAATATATAATTTTTCCTCCTGTATATTATTTAAACAATATATATATATATATATATGCGTGTATATTTTGTATAATATTTTTTTATGCGACAATGTTTCTGTACGAACTATCTGCTGCTTTAGCAGTAACCGCAGCTAATCCTAATTGAATCTGGTTTTGCCGTGTTGCGCACAAAGCTGCAATGCAGAAAAGGAGAGCAAATTGATAATCTAGGATTAGTTAATATACGGTCGACGCAAACTGGCTTAAATAGACAGTATTAATATTCCATCGATGGTTGGAAAATCCCTAGGAATGGAACGAGAAACTGGAAACTATAATTAGTGAATATTACTTAAACGAGTCATCATTTAATTATAACGCATTGGGTTTTAAATACTATTTTCTAATTTAAGTTAATTGCACTAATCATAGATATTTATAAAATTCTTTGATTCCGGAAACAAGTTTACTCAAAATAACAATTATTAAAAAATTATTAAAATGATTAAAAAAACATCTTATTTTTAATAATTCTCTTAACATTGTTATATTTTGTTTTTTATAATTATTAATACATATTTCATCCTATTGAAATGTATATACATATCTCTCATAAAATCTTGTTCGTAAAAATGTCTAATTTTTGCATACTTTTTAAAAGCTCTTAATACATGGAATCACACACATATTTCTCTTAGTTAGCTCTCACGTTCATCAATCAAAAATGACTTCCGACCGTCTCACCGTGTATCTGTTAACGCGTTCCAAAAATAGGGTACCCTCAAGAGATTTGTTTGTAGAGGAATGTGTGCTCATTGCGGTAGCTGTGTGTTACTTAACGTGCCAGATGTCCGCGTCGCTACACGGTGCCGCATTAGCAATTTCGTGGGATTGTGAGAGGAGGACGCGAAACCCACTTGATATATCTAAAAGCCCGTCGGCCTGCAATTGCGAAGCCGCGACGACATGACGCGCGAATTATACACCTTCGTACAATATTACGGTTCATTTCATATGGCTTTCATATACGATCACGGCGGGAGAGCCGGAGAAAAAGAGAGACAATCTAGGTGGACATACTATCTATGTGGAATTTGCACGAGTCTACTCCGTATTTGTTCGCTAGAGAGGTCGGATATTCCTGGAATAATATCGCGTTTGTATCACACATGTCGTATCACATTGTTGTATTAGCGATTTAAATATCTCTCAGTCAGAAATATTACAGCGATTGTTTATTGTATTTAGCATTGATGAGTCTCTTATAGTCGATTCCTATATATTTAAGACTGTTTTAAGTCAGTCTTAAAATGTCACGAACCAATTAGAAATCTTGAGATATTATTTAAGACTGTCTTAATATAAGAACAGATTATGAATAGCGGCTTATGATAACTGTACTTCCGTTTCAAATCGCCTTATTGCGTACATAGATAGGATGTTTACTACCTAGAAAATCTGAGAATTTTCAGAGGATTATTTTTTATCTGATTGAAAATCAGATATTTTCGTGGAATTTTGTCAGAATGCAGGGAAATTTTTAGAATTTTTCTTTTAAATTTTAATTCTATCTTTTTCTGTAAACATATCTTTATTATTTTTTTCTTTATGCAAAATGTCATTTAGCATGCATATCCGCGTATATTTACGTATATTTTGATGTATTTTGCTTTTTTTATTTAAAAAAATTAGGATGACAATAGAAGATTCATAAAGAAATGTGCTACATAACGAAAAAACTAATGTTATCTGTCGACAGATCACGTTTGAAACAGGTATTCTATAGTCAAATCTTGGAATTTTATGTATCCGACTTGAACTGGAACATTACCTATTGTATTATAATTTAAATATAGACAAAATATTCTGAGTATGCACTTTTGTAAAAAAAAAAATGTTTCCCAAGTCGCGAGTCAAGTACAGAATTCATAGGATCCTAAGATTTAATTATCTGAAATATTTGATTATCTAATCTCTTTGTTTTTAAAATATTTGATTATCTAAAATATTTGTTTCAAATGTGATCTTTCAATTGATAATAGTGGTTTTTTGATATCACTTTTATAATGTAGCATATTATTTTGTCAGCAAAATAGAATAGTTTACTGATATTATATTGTAGAATACGGTAGATACTACCATATGTATCAAACTGTGTGTATTGTGACCTTTTTTTTTTTACTAATTTTCAATGTATACTTTATTTGCGTTGCCTAAACTCCAATTTAATTTTTTTATTTAAAAGTTACATTTAAAAATTCTCTAACCTTACTTGGAATTTTGTACAAAAATATAGAAAATCCAGGAATTTTTACGGTATTTTTTCAGTTTTTTAAACAAAATTTAAATAAACACTGCTAGAAATTCACATAAATTGCTGCAATTTCCACGTAACGTCTCGCTTGACTCGTCGATTTATTACTCTCACCGCGCGTTTATCTCTGCAGGTTTCCCATATCTAATTATTCCTCGTGCAAATATCGATCGGAGAAAAATTAAGTAAAATTAATTGCCATTGGGCAAAGTATTAAGAATATCTATCATACATAAATGTGAGATGGCATACACAATTGGATTCATTCTCGTGTTACAAGCGTGACGTGTAGATATGTGGTTTACTCGACGCACTACGCTTGCCTAATTAATAGATAACACTATCGTCAAGAGCGAGGAGTTAGTTATTAAAATAAAAGTTGGTAGATTGTGTAACGTTGCCATTGACCTGTCGTATGGTAGCATGATGTTTATCGCGTTTATCTTCATACTCTTCATACCTTTCATTTACGTGATACACTTAAACCACTTCTTGCAACAAGTATTTATAAGCAATGTTATCTTGCTTCCTCTTATTGATAAGGGTTTTCTTTTTAATAAAGCAAATATAAATACAAAAGTGGTAAGATAAACTAAGTATAGGAAATCACATGATGTTGATTCAGTTTAATTTAATCTATTTGGCTTTCATTTGAATTAAAAAAAACTTCCTTTAAAGTAAATATTGTTAAAATTTTGTTTCTCGAAATATGTATCTGTTATTTCATATCTTTTTAAGTTCTTTTATTTGTAAATTAATGAAAAAAAAAAACAATAACATTTTTAATATAAAATTTTTTGCATTGCTATTTACTTTCAAAAATTGTTTAATTAAATTGTTCGATTGCTTTAAAAATGATTTTGTGCGTGTGTGCGTTAAATTTTAGTTTTCATTTATTTTATTCGTAAATAAAAAAGGCGAGACACTTGGTGATGTGAAATACAAGCTGCTGAGTGAGATACTGTAAAGTGTTTGTATTTGAAGCAGCTAAATATTATAATTATAAAAACACACTGACCTTTGTCTTCTATAATGAGTCTTGTCGAAATAATAACGATATACCTATTATATGTCGGTGCTGGTAATCGTTCTGTGTAAATGGACCACAACACAGGCCACTCATCGTGCTTGTCATAAATCGTGTCGCCCCTAACTAACGTCAGCATGGAACTGTCGCACTGTATACACCCTGCGCGATAATTGAACGCACGGTGTGCAAAGTCATCACTTTGCTTGTAAATTATTTTTTATCACAGTGCGCGTTGTTTCCCCGGGGATATTACCGAGCGTGCGCACTCCGATGCTTTTCGAGGTTCGCAAAAGCTATCCCATCGCGTGCGTTATCGTCCGAAATATACGAGCGCGTTTCGGTAAGCTCGTTGGATCGTGTGCAATGCGCTGGATTTCGGTCGTTTCTTTGTTTATGGTTCACCGAATATCGTGCAAATTTCATTCCAACTCGACGCACCCGAGAGCATCACGCGAAGTAATTGTTTCGCGATTAAAGAATTCTTGATTGAATTGTCGAGGACGACAGTCAAATTAAATTAACGTGGAATTTTAAACGAAATTATAGGCTTCGAGTACTTCACTGCAGACTACAAAGGTCTCTCTCGGCGATATTTCTTGAAGTACATAACATTGAGCATACTTTCGACTGCCAATTGTAAATATATTTTTCACGACTCTACGTTACGTTTTAATTTTTCCATGATAATGGAACTTCTGTCATAATATTGAAATAGTAACCTGAGATGCAGTTCTAACAAAAACGGCGGAAAGTTTTTATTAGATTAACCGTGTAAAGAACGATTGCGTAACGGAAAAGAAAAGAGAAGAGAGGGATATTTATTCTCATTAATCATTCTCTTCAGATAGAAAGGTATATTTCCATGAAAAGCAATTATTTTGCAACGAATATTGACGATGTAAAAAAAAAAATGAGGAAATATCAAGTGAATTGCATGGTTGCGATGGATGATATTTCTTGCTATCATTGTGTGTTACGTGTATAAAAGTCACGCGCTCTCGCTCAAACGATAGCGATTTACGCCTTTCATAGCGCTCGCACAATCCGAGTCACGAAGAACGATCGTCGTTACCATTCAGCCACGCTCTGATTCCCCATTATATCATGAACATGTCGTGGAAAATATCTTGTGGGGTTTACGTCCATTCATCGACGATGACCAAATTGCGCATTGTGTCGATTTTATTAGCTCGCCCGGATAAATAGATTACGCTCTTTACATATGTTGTCGTTCAATACAGCTTTCTACACAACAAATTGTAGAGTATAACGTCAACGACTGGAGACAATATTGAAACAATCAGTTTTCTTCCGATTTATTAGAAATCTTTTTAATAGTACAAAATATTATTATATGGACATTTTGTTG